CACTTTAAAAACACGATGTGATTTATGAAAGTCCAGTCATCGACAAACAGCAGGGCAGTGACAACACTCTGCGCTCTATTTGGAAAAGTAAGCATGAGACAGGGAAAAATCTATGCACAGCCTATACACAAGTCAACACCCACGCACTTCCCCCCTCCCCCGCCCCCCTCCACTCGCTGTGTGTTTTTTTTTTTTTCTCAATGAAAATCTTTCACACAGAGGACACACACGCACACACACAACGTTTAAAGTTCATCTCATTAACTCCTGACAAGCCTGCGCCTGCTCCGTCCTCTACAGGAAGTGGACTGATTAAGAACTCGTGACGCAACCGACGTTACGGTCCCCCTTTCAAGAATTAAGAAAAAGGAAGAAGAGCACAATCAGATCTGTCCACACTTACACACACACACACACACACACACACACACACATACAGAGAGAGAGAGAGAAATGCACCCCTGAGTCCACGTTGACAAATTCTTTAACAAGCTGTGGTTAAAGGGAAGCTGGTTTTAGTGTGAGTCACCCCCCTCCTTTCAAACAGTTTACTGGAAATAAAGAGGGAGGAGGAGGGAGGGGGCACTTTCAGAGAAGTCACGTGACGGGGCTGGGCAAACCACAGCACAGAGCGGCTTTGAGTGCAGTAGGCCAGGGGGGAAAGGAGGCATACGCCCAGCGCAGATGGCCCTGATTTGAGTTACAGGAGATACGATCCTGGGAGTTGGCAATCAAGAATTCACAGCCTGTTAACCCCTTCCGTTCCAGATGAAAGAAACATCAAAAAGAAAAGAAAAAAAAAAGTTGCTAAGTCAAATAAATAACTGTAGTTCAGATGGAGGGTGGGAGAACAGAATCTGAGACAGCATGTGTCAGTTGGGAGGATTTCATGCCCTCTTGTACTGTGTGAGCAAAAAAAAAAAAAAAACTTTAAGAGGAGCCTGACATTCATGACATCAGCGTCTGGAACCGTTAGAAAAGGCATGACTTCATTATTTTTGAATAGGTCTGTTGAATGAGAGAGAGAGTTGGAGAGAGAAAATACTTTGAGAGGTTTGCTGCTGTGCATCACGTGAACTTGTGGCAGGAAGTTGGCTCAAGCGGGCTTGGAGGAAAGAAAAAAAAATAAAAATAAACAGGCTTAAGTCAACCTGCTTGGCACTGGCGGACCGTAGCGACCAGAGCGGCGACAAAGTCAGACAAAGCTGGGGTGAAGAGTGTGTGGGCTGAGAGTGTGTGTGAGTGGGAGGGAAGGAGGAAGGGGGGAGTCGGGGCCATCATGGATGTGGAGCCATGGTGGGTTGAAGCAGGGTCACATCCTTGACAAAAAGAATTAACCGCTTCCTGTCTGATGCACAGTGATCCGGACATGTCCTCATTTTCCTCCCAGTTCCAGTCCCCCAGCGGATTCACTTTGCTCTGCTACTAACCAAACCTCCAGCATTGTAAACGGCGCAGGTGATGAAAACCTCAGTCCACTGCGAAGATGAAAGCGGACTTAAAGACTGGCGTTGCCGGAACATCCGAACATCAGAGCAGCTGTAAAAGCTTCACGGTTCCGCATGTCTAAAGTCCTTGGTGGTGCAAAAAAAAAAAAAAAACTTGCGTCCGGATGCTGTTCAAACACACAAGCCCTCGTCACATACTTTCACACACAGCTGTGTAAAGAAAGAGAGAGAGAGGCAAAGAGAGAGAGAGAGCGAGAGAAGGAGGATAAGAGACAGAGCTTAGAGAGAGCAACACACAGTGGAGGACAGAGGAGTTGAGAGAATAGCAACTGAGGGACAGTCAGACTAAGTCAGGAAGAGAGCGAGGCTGAGGCTGCGGTAGCTTCGTCACTTCCAATCAGTCTCTCCATGGATGCGAGAGCAAAAGGTGGCGCTCCTCCTGCGTCCCACCATCACCGGTTTGCTCGCGGACGAGGTCTTCGGCGCTCGGATGACGATTTGAGACAATGTGTACGACAACATCGCCCGCTTTGCCTCGCTCCTCTACGGTCTCCTCCGCCTCACTGGCCGACTGTCGGCAGGGAAGCTCCCCTATATCAGCGAGTGATGTCAGAGCAAACCCCTCTCGCACATGTGGTCCGAACTCCGGGGCTGATGTTGATTGCCAGCCTGCGCAGCTGTCCGCTGCCATTTCAGCAGGTGCAGCATCCCCGCGCCTCGTTCGGCTGCAGGACGGGATTCCTTATGCCGCTTTTTTCTTTCTTTTTTTTTTTTTGGGTTTGATTAGGAAAATGTGCGGGAAATATGGGGAGCACACATTAACTCAAGTTCTAGTCAGAAGTTTACATATACATGTCCTTAATATGAATGTCATCAGTTTGGTTTGGCATATTCTTTTTCTATACAACTTGGAATTTTTTAAAAAGAGCTGGGTGTTTATTGCTGATGTTCTCTCTTCCACACGTGATCATAATTATGCGTACAGACTCTAATATGTTTTAATTTGACTTCAGTAGCTACTAGAGCTGGGCGATAAAATCTCAGATTTTTCATACCAAATCAGATTTTAATTGATTCGGTTCCTTATGGAAAATGCAATTTTTAACCAATTAAACACATTTTGTACTGTGTAGTGCTGTGTAGATACCTTTATATTCTGTTTCGGTCATATTTTTCTCGGTCTATTCCCCATTATGTTTTCTGAACATTTGTGCTACAGTATTTGTTGCAGAACTGCTAAACAAGGTCATGGACTTCCGGCTGGTTTTCACAAATACGCCATTTTTATTCCTCACAAAGATTTTGTAGTCCAAGTTCAATGATACTAAAGCTACAAAAGCTACAATGCTCTGTTGCTAGGTGAATTGACACGCACAATTTATTACACCGTTGTCCAGCATCAGATTGCTGAAGCACTTGTCGTTGATGGATGGAGGGGTCGGTTCCTTCTGTCTGCGGAAACGACGGGCACAGCAAGTTACAGAAGCCCGAGTAATACGTTGGTAAAAAATGAGAAAAAAAATCTTGATTTTCCAGAAATTAAATCTTCATAAACAGGAAATTTGATTAATCAATAAAACCAATTTATCATCCAGCCTTACTAGTTTCCATAACTGTTTGCAGCAGATGATTAATCGAAAGTATCTCTAACAGAATTGAGTATTTCTCAAGGAAGATAAGAAATGAAGTAAGTTCCAGGGAATTTGGCGATGAAAGAACTGTGGTAAACATTTTTGGAGACGTTTCAAAACTGCAGATTTAAGGATTATCGCGACTGTACACAAGGTTCAACTTATTCAGATGTGTCACTAATTTGCCACGGTCAAATGAGACGAAGCTGATCAGAACAGTTAGGAGAGTTAGAAGAATAAAAACCACCAGCGTCATCGTTGACGGTGAAGTCGCCTGGCAACCAGGAACAAAGTATCTGCCGCTAAATGAGCACCATTAAGTTTAACTATTATTTCCCCTACATACCGTCTGGGGAAACTTTTATGGTCAGATAAATGAAATAATAAACTGACAAAAATGACTTTAAAAAGAATTATGTTTGGAGAAGTAAACCTCAAAACCTGTGGAAACTGCCAAGCTAAACCACAAAACCTGTGGTTTTGTGGTTTAGCATGATACTGCCACTGCAGTATCATGCAGTGGCAGTATCATGCTATGAGGTGTGTCTCTGACAGTGGTATTGGTATTGCACTAAGAATCACAATTGACTTTATTCACCAAATTTGTGCACACAAACAAGGAACCTGACTTTGTTTTCACTTTGCTCTTATATTTATTTGAAAAACATGTAAAAAAAAAAAAAAAAAAAGTTTGAGAAAAAAGTTTTTTGCAAATATTATTGAAATGAAACAGGCTGTTCACCAGTTCATTAAAAGTTTGAATTCTAATAAAAAAATAATCCTAATAATATGGTATTACTGTGACACCCAATTACAGAAATACAAATATAACAGCTCTTTCTGGTAATCACAAAAAGAGAAAAAATCCCACTTGGCAGTTAAACGTTTCATATTGTTACTGAACCCTCTGTTCTTTGTTCTGCTATCTTGATGATCTATTGTATGTGATGAGTCTTTGAGGTTGAAACGCCTCCTTGTCATCACCCTAATCATTAGCGACCGTCGCAGGTTCTGTATGAGATTATCCATCACTGGTTGAGCAACTCTAAAATGTCACTTCCATTTAGAAGAAACACTTTTGAAAAGATAACTTCAAATTTATGAAGTGGAGTATAAATATATATATATATATATATATATTTTGCTTAACTGTATTTTTTTACAGAAAATATTATTTTTTTCATATTTGTGAATCAAAAAGTCTTCTGATTTGAAATGTTACCAACCTCATATATGCGCTGAAAAGTAAAACACGCACAGTCAACAGCAAGACTGACTCACTCGCATGTCAAATATGTTAATTGTTTGGTTCAGTCGAGAAAAATAAGAGTCACTGACTCAGTTGTTCACAGGTTCTCAGGCATACATGGATGCAGATGTTTGGTTTCTCCCGCGCTGACTTTGAGCCACATGAGAAAAAAAAAAAAAAACTTTCCTAAGTCTGGACACGCGACAGGCAAATCTTATAAAATGGTTTTTCTGCATGCGTGCTTTTGCTTCCATTCTTCTTATATTATTCATTATAATAGGAGGAGGAAAAAAAAAAGACACAAATATTTACAAAAAGCCATGAGGCATTGTTGAAATATGTGGAGGGGTGGCATGCTGAGCATATTTTTACGGAGGATCTCCTAATGAAAGCCTGAAACGGAAGCAGCGTTTTACTCAAGCGCATCACTTGATGTTCTCGGAGTCATAATGTTGCGCAAGAGTGCGATTGCGACCGCCTCATTGAGAAACGAGGGTGTGGTTATTTCATCAGCTAAGGTGTTTGGTAAATCCCCAACTCTGGAGTTAGGATGAAAAGTAAGTGAGAACTACCTTCATGAAATGAGTAATAGGGCCAGACAGAGGAGAAAGTAACTCAGCGACGGTAACTATGACGATGAGGGAGGAGAAGGTGCAAGGAGCAATGTGTCACCTGGGCGGACTCGGTCTGGTCCAGCATTTCCTCAAACTTCTGGTAATCTTCGTCATCTGGATCAGCGCCGGACAGGCGGGCAGCCCGCGCCATGAAGTAAGGAGGGAGCTCCCCTATAGCAGTACCGGCGCCCTGTTCGGCAAAACACAAACAACAACAACAACACACAGAGACAACGACGTAAAGTTAATACGTCAGCTTAAAATTACATTGAGGGAGATTAGATGATGTAAAGAAACACCTTTTCCTCTTTTATAAATTTATTATAAAATCCCATTTTCAAACTATACTTTTAATCTTTAACAAAAGTATTCTACCCCTTGGATGTTTTACCCTTTTTTATTGATTTTACCAATCAATAATGAGCAATGACGTTTGGCTTTTTTGGCAAAAATAATTACCAAGAATCAATAAAATCTTAAATGCTAAATGTAACCTGATTTCTACAAAACAATGACAGTTCAATAAAATGACTGAATAAATATTCACCCTCTTTAAAGTGACTGACCTAATTCAACAGAGGTCCAGTCAATTGGTGCCAATAGTCTCACAGTAAGTGAGGTCACCAGACTGCAGTCTCCAGTGATTATGCTATTAAGATACTTCACATCTTACATCGGCATTCATACTGTTACAGCATGAAGACAAAAGAATGGTACATAGAAACTAAGGTAGAATGATTTTTTTTAAAATAGCGTTCTTTTAAAAGGCTAAGATAATTTTAAGATAATTTTGGTTCAATTTACAAACACCTCATATGATTTTTCATATACATATTCATCAGCTTTTGAATAAAAGCCTCCTCATCCTTGTTCTGTATATGTTCTCGTATTCGATATAAAGAAGCTCTCCAAAGTTATCGAGCGTAATTTGTGAACAGTTTTGTTAGCATGGTCGCTCAGAACCAAACAACTAAGTGAAACGCATCGCTTTGAAGATGTGACTAGAAAAGGTTTGCTGCACTGAAAAGAGCACCAAATAAAGGGGTAGAGTAGAGTCCTATGGTACTTTAGTCCGTTTTCATTTTGACTAAAGGAAGTCTGAGACATTTCACTGAAACCTAATGCGACTACAGTCACTATGCCGATTATGTTACCCTACAGACTAGCAAGTAAAAACAGAACAAAAAATATTTGAACAGCCACTATATGAACAAGCTTTCGTTGCTTGATGACTGGGATTGTGTAACAGAAGCAATTAACAGGACTAAAACAAAAAGGATTTACAAGAGTAAAAATCCCACAGATTTTCAAACAACTGTGGATCCATTACAAACAGGGCCAACGCAGGGGGAAAGCCATACGCTAACTCTACATAATGCAGCTGCCAAAAGGAGCTTGTAGCTATAAAGTGCTAGAGCGTGTGTGAATGAAAAAGGCTTAACAAGACGAAAGATGAAGTGATTTGAGGGATATAAATCCTTAGTATTTTGGTGGGTTCACCAGGTTCGTGAAACAAAACACGACAAGTTAGGGAAGAGGAAGGGAGCGCTTTGAGGAAAACAGATTTAATAAACAAAATAAAACGGCAAACTCCAAAAAAAATTAAATGCTTAAACGGTTTCAATCTTTTCCACAACTCCCTGTGCTTTATTTGGGGGCATTTACAGCTTCTTTTACAAATCATTCAAGTCTCCGACCCGCAAAGACAAACGTAGAGCAGGCAGAGCTCACAGGTAGAAGCAAAGCCGTGAGCTTTTGGAAACACAGCGTCACAGCAGGTGTGTGACGACAGCACTACACATAAAACGTGTCGTAAAAATCCCTATACCATTATTTTCAACACAATAACAATGGTAGCAATGTTGTTGGCCAAGGAAATTTTTCAGAAGTAAATTATATGTCTCACCTTATTGTGTTTCTTTTCAGAAATTATTTCTGGGTCTTGCCTGTGCTTTTAAATGCTGCAGCTCTCGCTGGTCGTACAAACAAAACGTCATCACGATGTCTCTTCCTTTCCCAATCAGTTGGTGCATATCTGGTACTAAATCGCTTGGAAAGTCTGAGGCGTAACGGAGGTAGCCAGGCTTCTACCAACCTCATCTCATCATTCCTGTTGAAGACCAGGGAGATCAGGAAGCTGGTTTTTGCAACTAGCACTCTGTAGGTAAAACAGTTTGTGTCCAGGATGTGTGGGACTGTTTCTAACCCTAACCCCATACAAATTGGACAGAAGGCCAACTTTGGTGATGGTTTTGTGATTTGACCCAAAGTAAAAAGAGACTAAATATGAATGAAGGCCACATTTTCAGGGTTTTGTGACTAAAAAATTAATTTAGTCCAACTTAACAACTGCTTTGTGTTAGTTTGGTAAAAACCAACCCCTTGTTCTACACTTTGCTTCGTGCAGAGGGCCTGGAAACTCAACTATTAAGAAACAATTGATTCCTGGAGGCGTGGACTCTGCTGAAGTCTTAAATGTTACCTAATCACTAATGTTTGGCTGTGACGTATGTAATGCACCAGTTTGATGCCATCAAGCTTAATGAAAACAACCATTCTCCACAGCAAAGTGGCGAGCTGAACGAGGCGGTTGATAATTCAACACTTGGATGCGTGGTCAACCTGGACTGAATGGCTTTGTTCACTTCCTCTGCTGCCATTGCCACAACTACAGGCAGACTACAAATCTAAAACGGTGCAGAAAATCCATGTCACCGTTCAAAACTTCTCCGGTTTGCTGATTGGCTCGGTTGATATTCTACTGGAGAAATCTAAGTGAATGAGAGAAAGTCCAAACAGAACAGTGAGCGGAGATGAGAACTGAGCAACGACCAGGCTAGCTTTGAGTTGGTCTGCTGCACAAAATCCAAACAAAATTCCCTGAATGTTTTGGTTTTAATCTGACGAAATGTGAAATAGTTCAAGAGGTATGAATACTTCCAGCTCTGCAGATAAATTAAGTTCCAATTAGAAAACACATTTGTATGATTACAAGGTCTTATTAATGTTAAGTATTAAAGCAGAGAGGAGTGAAAAAAAAAAACTTTGCTGAATGTGCTGTTCTGGCTGTACACGCAAATCCCACCATCATCATCAAAGAGGAGTATAACTAACTAATCACAGGAGCATTACTTATATGTTGCTGACGGGCTGAGCCAGAAGATGATTAGTGGGTAAGTTAGCAACCATGGCAGCAACAACAAGCCCAAACAATCACTGTCAGGAGGCGGTGCTATCCCCCAAAAATCTGGCACGCTGCATCTGTAATTTGGACACCCTGTTCTCGAGTTAACACGGCCGTCTTTAATGAAATCTTCTACTTTGTTTTTTTTATATAATGGCGACGTGCTTTAATCTCCCTGGCAGCTGCTCCATTCAACAGCTCCGCTTCTGTTCGCGAGCGCGCAGCTCGGGGTGTTTGTGAAAGCAGGGCAATGAAATTTGTCCACCTGCGCCGCACCGCTGTTTGAAGTGGAGCACTTAACGCATCCACTGTCATGGACTTCAAGAGCAAAGAGGGAGAAGGACAAAGAAAGCGGAGGAAAGAGAAAGTTGGAAGCAGGAGGAGGAGGTAGAGAAGCAGTTGCGAGGAGGAGGAGGAGGGTTGGGCGATGTTTCATGTCTCATCACCAGCAAAAGCAGCAGGCTGGCAGGAGACGGGGTGGTAAAAGGGGCGGGGCTTCGTCGCTGAGGCTTTGAAAACTTGCGTGCAACAGGTGCCTCCAAACTGTAGAGCTGACAAGCCTCGTGGGTGGGGGGGGAATTGAAGCCAGAGGGGGATTTGGTGACAGAAACACAACAACAAACAAGAGAGTTTGGTAATCCTTTGAAAGAAGGAAGAGTTTGTGTGTGTGTGTGTAGTTAATATTTTACAGCTCTGCTGAAGCCTGGGGGCCAATTACAGCAGAGAGCAGAAGGGCCGGTTCCTGTAAAGGCGCCAGCAGTGAAGAAGTAACTGAAGAGGTTTATTTCCCATTCAGCACTTACATCTTCCACATTACTAGGAAGAGGGAAGCAGATGATTGTAAAACAATGAATAATCTACCGAGTTCAGCTTTTTAATTCCCCTTCAGTTCTCCACTTCTGGGTCACAAAGAAACAAAAAGAAAAAAAAAGTGAACTGTTGATAAAGGCGAACTTGAAAAGGCTAAACAGAAATCTGCAACGGAGCGTGACTTTTTAACCGGTCTGGCTCATGTCTTGTTTTCGTTTTTTTATGCATGTGTGAGTTACTGATAAACCAGCAGAGTAAGAAAAAAAAGCTGCACTTTCTCTTTCATAAACAGTTTATGAGTCTATTTTAATGTATTTTTTGCCTACAAAGTAGAGGAAATGCTTCTGTTCAGGCCCTGAGAAGAAATGGCCCGACAGACTGAAATCATTTTTATCTTTCTTGGTAGTCACCAAACCAAATTGGGTAGATGTGTGAAACCATTGACGTTGCTTGGTGGAAATTCACTGCAGTCAGAAGGGGTTTTCCAAGAATATGAGTTATTAATATGCACATTTACGCCTCATGTAAATTTGTGGCATTTCTAACTGTTACAAGAAACATAAAAAGGAAGAAGCATGTCTAAAATGAGAGGAAGAAGAGCTAAAGCAGCAGCTAAAAGATATTTTAAATGTACAGTAAGGTCAAAACAAGTTAAATATTTATAATAATGTTTGTATAGCAATAAATGTCTGGGTTTTATGTAAAAGCACAATCTCCCCTTATTGTTTCTTGCAAAATAATTCATAAGTCCTGAACTTTTAAACATTAAATCAATGTTTAATTTTATATAGGTTTATATAGAGGTTAAAGTCCTTGTCAAACGACGTTTGACTAAAGTCAAAAGGGTTGGAGACAGCTTTTTATTTCTCTTTCTCACTGTTTGTGTTTTAATGTTTAAAAAAAAAAACAACTCTTTCTCACATGCTGTTTTTATTTTAATTATGCAAAGCACTTTGAAATGCCTTGCTGCTGAAATGTGCTATACAAATAAAATTTTATTGATTGATTGATTGATAAAAGTAAAACTTTTATGCAATTCATAAAGTGGTGCAAAAATGATGCACAGTTTTCAGCAATTCTTTCAAATAAAAATCTGAAGGTTTGAGATTCTTTTGGATTCAGCTTGTTTGATATCCTTGTAACTCCCTGCATGGCTTAATCTCAGGAAACGGAAAAAAACGTTTTAATCTAATTTTAATAATTAAGTGAGATTAATGTACCGCTTGATAACCAGGATAAATTTAAATGTATGTGACTGAATTGAAATTATGTTTTTGTAGACGGCATTTGTTGTGAATTATTTAAAATGTTATAAAATTACAACAGCATTTTAAATAAACTGGGTTGAATTACAAACCGTTCTGTAGCGGCCTCTGAGGTGTGTTAGAGAATGTAAGTGAACAAAGAGCATCAGGAAGAGAAAGGAAAACAGCAGACAGGTGAGGGGAAAATGTTCTCACAGAGATCTATCTGCTAAAGCCATGATTGTGGCACAACTGCAAACTTCATAACTATGGACTACTTTGTGTTGGTGTATCTCATAGCTTCCACATAAATAAATTGAAGTTTGTTGTAGCAAAACAACACAAAAGTGAAAGGGGCACGAATACTTTGGTGAGGCACTGTAGTTTCACTGTTACAGTAAAATACACCAGCAAAATCTGGTTCCGATCACTGCAAAGTGACTCAGCCAAGGCAAGTATCCACAGCCGGTGCAATCCTAGTAAGACTCACCCACATACAAGCTTCCAGACGAACTTTTGAGATGATGGTCCAGAGGGAGATGCTTCCCTGGAGGCCCGCTGGGCCCACCATCCCGTCTGCCCCCGCATCCACCTGCTCGGCACCGGGGCCGGATGTCGGTGCTTCCTGTTGGGGACAGACAATTTGGTCCGGATAGGGAGGCTCAGGGAATTCCACCGAACCACATTCATAGGCTGCCAGGGTCACCGCTGCGATGTGAGGTCCCTGAATACCAGACAGCAAACACAGACAAGTGAGAAAGAAGGAGAAAATGCTAATTAGTTCAAAGCAAGAGCAAGTGAAAACTATTAACTCAAACAGAGTGGGAGCAGAGCTACCTGCTGGTATTTTTGAGTCAGTGGAAGACCCCTCTAATATTAGCATGGGTGAAAAGTTGCAGCAGTGACTCAAATATTAACTAATAACATAATGACAGTTTTATGTGGGCCAGAATCAAACTGTGCAACGAGTTGCACGGACAAACATTAAACGTTTGCAGGATAAATAGTGGTGGTGCAGAGCTATTAAAGCACCAACAGCCACAGAGAGGAGCTGCTTCACTGGAGACGTGCAGCAGAGAAAATCTCAGGAACGTGAAGTATGAACTGAACAATGAACCAGAAACAAGTGGCAACTACACTGTATGTGCTTTGTTTCATTTATCTACGACGTCAGCCAAATGTTGCTCCGGTTCCACCAAACAAAAAAACAAACTTGATTTTCAGCTCATGTGACTCAGTAGCGTTAGCAGTCCAAGGTGATGACATTAGCCAACCATGTCAAAGGTAACAACATGTTTGCCATTTATGGTTGTTTAGTACCGTCAGTTGTAAATTCCCCCTCTCTAATGACCTTAACGGTATTGAACACTAAATTAGATAAGAAAGAAATTATCTAAAAATTTAAAGGCTGTGGTGGATGACACAAAACAAAACCCAGAAGTGGTTTTAGTGCTTTGTAATTTGGATGAGGAAAGCTAAGGGTTAGATATTTAAAAGAACTGCAGCTATTAATTTGCCTGGCATCATTTCATTAAATCTGACTGAAACATGGTTTCTACTCCACCTCCTCACCCTGCACTTCCAGGAATGCGGAAATTTAAATAATTAGGAGTTGACTCGTTTATACAAAGAAAATCCTCTTGCTGCAGTTTTATGAGGCAAAGTAAATTAATTTGATTATCACAAATAAAAGCTGTTAAGCCAACGAACCACCATTTAATTGTTTTCTTTTTCTGTTCAGTTTGATTCATGCTTATTTTTATGAGATTTTCTTGATTTGCTCCCTTTAGATTAGTTTCTAACGTACTTGATTTTGGCCGTGACAGTATTTCTTAATGGATGGTAACCGTACAGAAGCTGCAGAGAAGTGACTTAAACTAAGGCCTAGTTCTCAGGTAGCTGGACATCTGGAAAAACAAAAACACTTTCAAACAATAATTTAGCTTCCCGGTTAGATGAAGTCAGAGAACTCTATGATTGCAGTAACTGAGTGCTAAGTAGCGAATAAAAACAAATAATCTCTTACAATGCTGCTTCCACTCCTGTAATTTAGTTATCATCGTAGGCTTCTTGAAAAGAAATAACAGCCCTTTTAGCATGATGTTTCGTGGTCACTCAAGTCTGACTCACTTTGACAATAAGTACGATAACATCTTGTCTCAGAGTTCAAAGTCTGATTAGGTTTTATAACAAGCAGAAGCCATCATCATGTGACCAGATTTCTCTGAAAAAAAAAAAAAACACAAGCCATTCAGCGCAAACCTGTAAACGGATATATAACAATCAGACAATTCTCTGGTATGATCCCTGTAAATAAAGGCACGACTGTGGTGTGGGCTGATGTAAGAAGACACTTTGTACTGTTTCTTCCATGTGTTTACACTCATGGACGTGCGTGTAGGAAGGGTGCTCCCTATGACGCACACAGAGGCAGTTTGGCATTACACAATGCAGCACCATTTGCCTTCTGGCAAAAACCTGGGGCTGGGCTGGAACTTCCGCACCAGCACGAGACGAGGCCGGACGGGACGGGATGTGGCAGCACAGTTAGGCAACAGAAACTGCCAAGTCATCTCTAAAGGAAATGTGCTTCTGCTTTTAAATATGTATGGTACGCATAACATCCAATCAAGCCTCCGGCTCAGAGCCGACAAGCACTTGGCACGGGTGTGAATATCAGGTCAATTTAGGGCATTTAATGATTCATCTGTGATCATTTAACATCGTTTTAAGGATTGTGAAAACAATCATTGGGTTTGCGTTTAAGAACGCTTGCGTTCAAGTGAGGATATTCTCTGATCCGCCTCGCATCAGAATAATACAGGCTTAAATTAAAACATTCTCCCACTGATAACTGGTTCAATGTCCCAGGAAAAACTGTATTTTGACCACATTTCCAAAGAAATGTGGTCAAAATACAGTTTTGAAAGACGCATCTTCACTCCTCCAAATATGCATCTTATTATGACTAAATAACTTTGTCTCATGTGGAAAAACCTTTTCCACTGGGTATTTTAGCTGGTAAATGTGGGCAGAACCAACTTCGCTGTCGACAGTGAAAATGGTGTTCCAACTGTTTCCTCGCAGGTTGATCCTATCCAGTTTTTCTGACGTTGAAGGTTGGGATTTTCTTCCAGATCATGTCAAAAAACGTACATAATTTCTGAATAATTTAGAGATAAAATTGCTTAGTAGTTTAAAAATAAACTTACATAGATTGATGACATCTATTAGCTGCAATCAGTCCTAATCAATTAGAAAATAACAGATTTGTATCACAAAAAATAAATGCATCTACAATCAGTTTGCATTGCGACGCCCCAAGTAAATATGACATTTATGCCGCTGATGGATGTAAAACCTCTGTACGCATAAGTGCCTGCACAAACACTAAGCCGCTCCAGATTTTAGAACAAAAATCCGGTTGCTAACACTGTTGTTACCAAACCCAAACCAGGATGTCTTAGTGACCCAGATGGAAAAATAACGAAACTCCCAGCATTGACCCAGTCAGAGTTGTAACTCCTCAAGCACACGTCCTCCCATCTGAATATGAAGAGGGGGCCACTTTCACGTCGACGCACACAGAACCTTCAATAACACAAACTCGTCAAGCAGACGTTGTATGAACTAGAAAAACTATCCTCCTCACAACTCCCGGTGTGTTTACCCAACACACACACACACACACACTTACTTGGAGCTCAACAGTAGAGCGTGTTGCGTGACTAAGAGTACCTGCTCACACTCGCTCTCTCTTTTTTTTCCCCCCTCCCTCTCTATGTTTAATGCTGTGTCACTGCTTCTCTCTTTCCGGAAAAATCCAGCCCTCTCATGTTGTCCGGCCAGCTTAACATCCAGGTAGCTGCCTCCGTCTGTCTCGGTATGCTTCTCGCTTAATGACAGACGTGTGCAAGCAGGAACTTAAAAAGCAGATCCCCTAGTTCCAGAGTAAAGAGGTAAATTATTAACAATAAAACACACACACACACACAAGCAGTCAAATACATACACAGAGTTTACTGTAAACAGAATCCAGGTGAGATTTGATGTGTACTGAACTACCACCCATCACCCCACCTCATGCTGTTTCTGTTTTCATATCTGTCGTATGATGACAGGCTTTCATGCCACAAAATAGTGCTTAGATCCACACGGATAAAGTAACAAGGGAATTGTGAGCACTGTGTAGTGATATCACCGTGAGATGTGTGTGTGTGTGTGTGTTAGGACACATGGCCGAACCAGAGCAGCTTTTAGAACAAAACGAGACTAAGGATTAACCCCTTAAAGCTTTTCTGAAATATAACTGGAGGGCGTGGAGTTTGTTTGTTTTTTCCCAATCCAACTTAGCACACAACTGGGAAACTTTTTGTTTCATTTTCTTTGCTAGCTAACCCTTCTGTGATTTCAGTGTTGCATTTGCAGAGACAGGACATTTTTTGTTCATTGTAAAACTTTTCTGCAGACTGAGGGTGTAGATTTAAGTCTGAGTTTGTTTTTTGTTTGTTTTGAAGCATGTTTTAAATTCAACTGACTGATAATTCATAACTGCAAGTTAAAATTAAAGTGGTGCTGCTCACTGTTGGCAAAAAAGGAGGGGGGGGGAGTTACACTAGTGACATAATTCTGTAATGATTCATATCATTTTAGAAGACAAAACTTAAGCAGCTGCCTGCACTATCTGGAAAACCTAAATTTTATGATCACAGAATCTCATTACATGAATCATAGGATTTCATAATCAAATTTATGTTTGCATTTTGTCAGGTTTCTTTTCATGCATCTCATTTTAAGCAAATCATAAAGGTTTTTGTCATTTCATCGTCTTCCCTTTAAATTCCTGTCAAAAAATTAGTATTGTCTTGTGTGTGAATAGTGAATAGTGTGATGTAAATGAACTTTCATTTAAATTAAATTCAGATGAACAGAAGGCAACACATTGAATTAATGTCAACTCAGTTCAACAGAGTTTCACTCAGTGAAGTTTAGCTAAGTTTAATTCATTCTGGTGTAAGTCAGTTCCACTCAAGTTTGTGTTAGCTCTAGTAATTTCAATTCAGTTGGTTCATTTAAATTGATGAGAGTTAAATTTATAACTCAGCTCAGTTTTCTTACAGTTCAGTTCAACTCCAGGTCAAGTTAGAAAAATTCAATTCAGTTCAATTTATGGTATATGTGATTTGTTCATTTTCCCCCATGGCCAAGCCTATTTAGATCCAACTGTATAAAATTCAATGTAGTTCAAGCTTTATTCCAGTACAGTGCAATCTGAATTAGACCTATAAGTATTTATAAGAGATCAACCTGATTAGGATGCAGTAATATTTGATTCAACTAATCATAAAATGTTACCAAAAAAAAAAAACAACCATGTAAACCAGCAGATCACATTTAGTCTTCACTTCCAGCATACTGAGAAAGCACATGGTGATAGTAGAAAGGATCAATTTTATAACAAGAAATGTCCTGACAAATACTTTTATCTTCTTATTTTGTATTCCAGCCTTTTTTTCTGCTCATACAAATTTATAAAAGCTTACACAAGTGCCTCTGTGATCACAGACTGGTAGATATTTTAAAACTGTAGTAAAATAGATCATGGAAAAAGGAAGTTAAATAGTTTTTATCTATTAACACTGCATGACTGTTTGAAGCATGTGGCTCAACTATAAGATTGCTTCATATTCAGAAGTTAGGATTTCCATTTGTTAAGTTGGAACG